ATGGACCAGAAACTTCGAACGAAGTTCCATGCGCTGCTGCATACTAATCTGCCGTCCTTACAGCCACTTCCACCTGCCTCTCATGGCCAGCTCTCCGTCGAAACACCTGTTTTTGTTCGTGACTGCCGAGTAGGGCTCCCAGAAGAGATTGAGGGGACGATATCAGCGCACAGAGGCAGCATGTCGTTTGACGTCTCTGTCCGTGATGATACCTGGGTTCGTCAGCACAATCAGATCCGACGGCGGCAGTGCAGTAAACCAACCGGATCTGAATCAGACGCTTCACTCTCTCTCGACATCCTGCTGGACACCTTTGCCATTCCAGTAGACCAGTCAGTCCCCGAACCGAATGCCGCAGCCCGTTCAGATGTACCGTTTTCGGAACTAGTTTCTGACCCCGCACCAGCAGACGGAAAACCACCTGCATCACGCCAGACCAACCGGGCTCGCCAAAGACCGCAGCGCATACAGGTCAATCCACGACGTAAGCGGTACTGACAGACTTGAAGGGGATGTGTTGGAAATGTCACGATTTCCACGAAGAGTCAACGCACTTAACGGCGTCGCGAGAGCCGCTTGCCGTGATTGGGTGCTGGTAATCATACAGTACTACTCTTAGTATTTCATGTTCTCACAGACTGACTCACATAAACCACTAGTAAGAAACATCTGGAGTGGATAGTTCTCCAGCATGGAACGCAAAGCTCGGCAATAACGTGGACAACCAGATAATGGGGACCGTAAACGAACACTGGATTAAATTTACTTCGCTGGTTGGAAGAATTATTAATCTGAGTTGCCCATTGGCCTAAAAGACAACAAGTAACCTTCCGCTGTGAATAAAACGTGAAATTCAGATCTCTTCTAAAAGAGGAACTAAGGTGTGGAGTGGCGGGGAGTATCGAACAATTGCAGAAGTATAAACGACAGCAAGGTGTCTGTAAGCTTGAGGCAAATAGACTCCGAAGGAACTATGAGCTTACCATACTGCAGAACACACTGGAGCATCCTACGCTGCCCTACGTTTGGAATCTGGGTGGATACGTTTCAAAAACACTGGTACTGTATGAACGGGACCCACTAAAAGAACTAGGCATGGAAACAGACCTAGGTATTTGAACAGTTTCAAAAAAAGTGTCTTCTGAATATCCAGAAAGGGCCGTCCAAAAAGGCATCGGGCAATATACACTGCATCAGGCGTGCTTTCGTAATGTTTCTACCCGAAATGTTTGCGCGGGTCTTCAGTACTTTGGATAGACAGCATTTAGAATACGGAATGCCAGTCTGGAACGCAGGGATAAAGAAGGACAGTGATCCCCTCGGTCAGGTGCAACAATAGGCAACAGAACTTGTGGGCGGTCGTAGGATTATGTCGTATCCTGTAAGATTGATTAAGCTTAATTTGTATCCCCTATCCTGTGGGCAAAGTAGCCCCTACCCGCTACATACATTCCG